CGTGTTCGCTTCCTTGCAGCCCTGGAATGAGCCGCTAACGTCATGGTGAATGCTGCTCGGCCATCGGGTGTGCCTCCCGCTGCCTGCCCAACTCCAAGCTGAAGGGGCTGACTTTTCACGTGTGAGACTCTTCTCTGTCGTTAAGCCGCGGACTTTCAAAAGCCAGAAGCAGTTAGACTTCACTCTTAAGTTGTGGACTTCAGTTCCCCGGTTCCTTTTTAAATAACCTTTCCGCTTAAAATGGGAAGTGACAGTGGTAGCTTTGCGCTTATAACTGGGTTCAGAAGGTAAACCCAGCATTAAACGGAGCGGAAGCCGAGGTAAACCTGCCAGGGCCGCGTTTGCCGGCGTTCCTTGGCATTTCAGCGCGCCTTCCGGCAGAGCCGGCGCTGCTTACACGCGGTCTACAACCCGCAGGAAGGACCTCTGCCCAAATATTTTCTGTCCTTGGACGCAGAAAAACCTTCCGTTGTGGATCTTACCATACAGTATTAAATGTCCTTTGAAATTTCTTTATAACATGAGAAAAATTTAAATGAGGGCCATATGTCTACAGCATATGATTAGTGGAAAAACCTGACTGTTCAAACTGAAAGTTACAAAAGCATGAATCTTGATCGTTTCTGCTGTCATATTTCCCAAGAGTCATAGCAGACTGGTTAAGAAGTTAATTTAGTCACCTCCTTAATTCAAGTATCATATCAATAAGTGTTTAATTTTAAAATACTTTTTGTATTTTTTCCAGATTCCCCACAGATGAAAATATAAAAAGAAAATGGGTATTAGCGATGAAAAGACTTGACGTGAATGCTGCAGGCTTTTGGGAGCCTAAAAAAGGAGATGTGTTGTGTTCAAGGCACTTTAAGAAGACAGATTTTGACAGAAGTGCTCCAAATATTAAACTGAAACCTGGAGTCGTACCTTCTATCTTTGATTTCCCACCTCACTTACAGGTGTGTTTATGAGGTGCCGCTTGCCACCGTTACTCACTCTGTGGTGCTATTGAAGAAGCTTCACCACGCTTGCTTTAAAATCCTTTAAGTTTTTAAAGATGTAAACTGCTGCTTCAGACTGTGAACTATGTATTAAGAGCATTTTACCAGTAGCCACTCAGAAATATTTATAAAGGTTAGGTGAAATGGACTGCCCCTAGGAGTTAGCATAACTCAAGATTTGTATCTGAAAAATAGAGGAACATAAGAATGGTTTAAGTAAAGGTCCAAGTTGGCAGTCCTGCTCACTTTGGTTTAGAGCCACATACATGCAAACTTGAAGCCTAGCTAAGACTGGAGGGCAAAAAAAATAAGAAGAACAGGAGAAGGTAAGGAGAGAAGAGGTCTAAAAAGGAAATTGAAAGGATTGGGTAAGTAAATTCTAGTTGAATTCTGTTTTTTCTCAGTGATATTAGTGCTGTGGGTTGGCTGCCTCACCCTCAATACCTTTCTTGACTTCCTATACCTGAAAGTGTATTTGCTTCCATAAACTTTAGACTGACTGATCCAACCTGGAAAGTTCAGAGAGAGCCTGTGGGTTCCACGATAGTCATGAGCCTCCATTGAAAGGTATCTCCCTCCTGACAGCTGGAAACCAGGGAAGGAGCCCAGCAGCGTGACTGCACCCATGTGAGCGTGACTGCACCCATGTGGTCTTGGTCACTTTCTGCAGTTGTTCCTATTGTAGTATCTGAGTTACCAAGTAGAGACGCCTCACTTTCTTCCTTATTAGTAAATGTGCAATATCTTGTGCAATTTTCTCTGAAGGGTGCGTCATCTATCTGCAATGTTAAGAGGACCTTAAGAAATATTGGCATAATAAACCAAATAAAACATATTACTTTAAAAAACTATTTCCTAATAAAGAAAATTTTATTATAGGAAATTAGATAATAAAGGGAAGAGAAAATAAAAATTAATAATAATTACATAATCCGGAGATAATACTATTAACACTCTGATGTGTATCTTTCCAGTCATTTGTATATGTATGTTTATATATAAATTCATCTCTACCTATATAGTCTTATAAAAATAGAATTTTACTGGCCTGCCGGTGTGGCTCAGTGGTTGAGCTTCAACCTATGAACCAAGAGGTCATGGTTTGATTCCTGGTCAGGGTACATGCCCAGGTTGTGGGCTCAATCCCCAGTGTGGGGTGTGCAGGAGGCAGCTGATCAATAATTCTCTCTTATCATTGATGTTTCTATCTCTCCCTCTCATTTCTTCTCTGAAATCAATAAAAATATATTTTTAAAATAATAGAATTATACTGTATGTATATCCTCTTTTTTATTGGCTTATCTTTCTTTTTTTTATTTTTTTAGTTGATTTGAGAGGGAGAAAGACATCGATGTGAGAGAGAAATATCAATCGGTTGCCTCCTGCCCCAACCAGGGATCAAACCCACAACCTGAGTATGTGCCCTGACTGAGGATCGAAGCCTTCCCTCTACCTTGCAGTGTGCAGGATAGCACTCCAGCCAGGGCATGCAAGAGGCAGCCTATCGATGTTTCTCTCTCTCCCTCTCTCTCTCTCTCTCTCTCTCTCCCTCCCC